CCTCAGGTACGATCGGATGGTCGCAATTAAACGCAATGAACAGTTCAGATTTATTTTCTCTTTAAACGCGATCGTATGGTTCAGATCAAATCGCGATGAACGATCTAAATTTATTTCCTATTTAAATGCGATCGGACGGTCGAGATCAAAGCCGATGAAAAGTCCAAATTTAAGGAAGACGGGTATAAATATCTCACATCATATCAAACCCAAACTCTAGCCACTAGCCCCCCTGTCGGAGAAAAAGAATTAGTCGCCGGAGAAATGAGTCGACTGCCGCCCGCCACCGCGCCAGAGCCACCTGCAACCGTCAAAAAAGGTAAAAATTCTCCTATCCACTTGGAATTTGATTTCGAACACCCTCATGGCCAAATCGAAGCAAAAAGAATGGCAGATGAGCCGAAAATTATGGGTAAAGCCCGACGTCGCCGTAGCAAGCAAAACCAAAAATTGTCTCCGATGAACCCCTTCCTGATTCTCATTTCGTGCGATTTTTTCACTATTGTGTTCACCATTCTATTTTCTACAGATTGACCGAGAAAAAATGCCCAGCCGCGAAGGTGAGCCGACAGAGCCGGCGCACTAAAAAATTCTGCTGCCAGTAACTTTTTGTTTTTCAACTTTTTTTTGGCCAACCGAGGCCTTCTAACATATTGTCTCACAGATATATGTATAAAACTGGTCAAAACTGGCCAAAACTAGTCGAAAACGGCCAGTTCGAGGCAAATCGCCGCCGCGGGTGGCGGTGCCGTCGTCGGAGCACAAAATTGGCTGGAAAAGGTTTTTAACATTGATTTTGAATTTTTTGAGATATTTTTAGGTACGTGAAGCGTGTTTTAATCTCAATAGAAAAATTTAGGAAACTTGAGAATCGCCAGTAGGCGCAGCTGAAAGTTCAGTATTTTAGACGCTGATTCGGGTAAGAATCCCTCACCTTATTTCTTGTTATAAAATTAAAATTTAATTATCAATTATACGGTATTTTTTATAATTTAGAAAACTTCG